TGAACCCGTGTCCCCTGCATCGGCAGGCGGACTCTCAACCACCGCGCCACCAGGGAAGCCCAGAGGGTGTGTTTTAACTTCATTGATTTACAGTGGCTGTCCAGCTTTCCCAATACCACTTGCTGAAGAGGAGAAAATGTGCATTTAAATATTGATCCATCTGGAAATTTATTTTAATGTAATGTAAAGAAGTGACATTGAGTGCTTGCTTCAACCAAAATTGTGCTACCTTTCCATAATATGGAATTTAATTGAAACATGACTGCCCAATCAAGGACTACATTTTCTAATTCCTTTGACTTACACATGTGACCATGAGATCAGTAGTCGACTACAAAATATGCATGGAAGTGATGTGTTTCACCTATAGGCCAAGACCTTTAAGAAGTTCTCTGTCCCATCTGCCATCTAGACACAGGCAACAAAAGAGGCCATTTGGATTGTGACACTATAAGTTGGCAGGAACCTGGGTCCCTGAATCACCATGGTCAGGATAGGTACTCACTCACCAGGAACATCTACAGTGACTGTTACATGAGTGAGAAATACACTTTCATTGTGGTAAGCCACTAAAATGTTGGGACTTATTTATTAAAGTGGCCAGTATGGCTTCTCCACTAAAGAATTCAGTGAGGAGATAGCTGTCCCTAAACACTCGTGTCTGAGCACACTTCGTTTTATTCAGCAACCACCCTGCCCACTGCCGATGTATTTCCTGAGCCCTAGGGGACCAAGAACTTCTAGAGTTAAGTCTCCTCAGAAAAGCAGCACAGGACTTCCCTGGTGGAGCAGTGGTTAAGAATCTGCCTGCCAATGCAGGGGACACGGGTTCGAGCCCTGGTCTGGGAAGATCCCACATGCTGCGGAGCAACTAAGCTCATGCACCACAACTCCTGAGCCTGCGCTCTACAGCCCACGAGGCACAACTACTGAACGCACGTGCCACAGCTACTGAAGCCCCCGCACCTAGAGCCCATGCTCCGCAGCAAGAGAAGCCACTGCAGTGAGAAGCCACGCACTGCAATGAAGAGTAGCCCCTGCTCGCCGAAACTAGAGAATGCCTGCACACAGCAACAAAGACCCAACACAGCCAAAAATAAATAAATTAATTAACTAATTAGCAAAGAAAACGTATTTAAAAAAAAAGAAAGAAGCACAGAGAAGAGGAGAAACACTAAAAGGAACCAAGGAAGACAAAAGCGATTGACCCCCCCTCATGAAATACATGATGGGGTGATTGGGAGAGGACATCCTAGATGAGTTTATCCGAGTGAAAGAGGTGAAGGTGGGCAAGCTTTAGCTAAACAATGAACGGTCTGATAATTCAGTAACTCATTGACTTCATATTTCTGCCTATGCTAGACCTTCCACATCAAGATGAGAGGACTATGTTAGAAAACAAATATCTGAGTCCCAAATCAAGGGAAATTACAATAGTCCTTTGGTATCCGGGAGAGATTGGTTCCAGTACCCCCTGCAGATACCAAACTCCGTGGATGTTCAAGTCCTTTATATGAACTAGCCAGTACAGTCGAATCTCCACATCCTCAGTTCTGCATGGTTTGAGTCAACCAACTGAGGATCGAAAATCGGTTGGTGGAATAGAGGATCTGGCCCACGGATATGGACTGTAATCAAGGGAGAGCACTCAGTCCTAGCAAACAGGGCTGGTTTACAGGTTTTTCAAGAAGGAAAGAGATCAACATAAGGGTCAGGATAAGAAGTATAAACCTAAGGGAACCTTCCTGAAAGGAGCAGGTGAGATGTAGCCAGAAAGAGTCCCAGTCCATGTCATCTGTGTCGTGGGTCTCCACCACAGAAGGCGCTGTGGAAAAGGGAAGG